GATAGAGGGAGTGGATGGGGATAGATAGATAGATAGATAGATAGATAGATAGATAGATAGATGGGGTGGATGGGGATAGATAGATAGATAGATAGATAGATAGATAGATAGATAGATGGGGTGGATGGGGATAGATAGATAGATAGATAGATAGATAGATAGATAGATAGATGGGGTGGATGGGGATAGATAGATAGATAGATAGATAGATAGATAGATAGATAGATAGCGGTGCTGCTTGGCAGTGGGCGAGGTGCGCCATGGGTGGGCCCCCAGCCCGGCCCCCCCGTCCCACTCACCGGGCATGGCGAGCCGGCTGAGGTGGTGGGGGTTGCAGCAGAGTGTGGCCCCCTCGCCGCAGCCCCCCCAGACCCCGAAGCTCTGGCAGCAGCTCAGGCGCTTGAGCTCATGGGGGTGCCGGAGGTCGGGCCAGCGGTAGAGCCGGCAGAGCAGCACCTGAGGGGGCAGGGCCTGCTTGGTGCCACGCGGCTCTGCCCGGGCCACCCAGACGCAGCCCGACGGCCCGGCTCCCCGGTTCTCCACCGCCTGCACCAGCAGCTCCAGCTCCTCGTCCTTCAGCTTCTTGAAGAGGGCGTGAGCGGCGGGTTTGAGGGCGCCGTGCCCATCCTCGGGGCCGGGCCCGGCACAGCGATGCCTCCAGAGACGCCGCACCAGGCTGGCCCGCCGCGAGCGGAACATGGGGGGCTGGGCCCACCTGTGGGGGGGAGAGAGGGGTCACGTGCCGCTCCAGAGTCCCATGTCCCTGCCTGTCCAGGCCCAGGGCACCCAGCCGCACCTGGGGTAAGCAGGTATTGCCCTGCACCCCCCCGCCCCCCGGCATCAGGTATAGCAGGGATCCAGCCGGACACCGGGGTCCCCAAGGGGGAGTCGGCCTGCTCCAGGCCTGCCTCGTCTAGGCCAGGCTGGCTGGGGCTCCGCTGAGCCGGTCTCCCCCAGAGCTCCCCCAGGCCCGCTGGGCTGGGAGTCTGTATCCAAACACCCAGGGCCTGAGTGAAGGGGGCAGGATCAATGCTGGGCGCTGGCCAGTGGCCGGTGGCACCGGAGGCCAGCCAGGGATTCTGCACCTCTGGCGCCCGCTGCTGGGGCAGGAACGAACCCCCCGATGATGCAGCGGGGCACCTGGTCCTGCCAGGGAGCGGAGGGGCTGCACCCATCACCCCTCAGCAGCACCCACCGGGCAGCCACGTCCCCAGAGACCCTGAGAGTCAAACCGAGAATTCGATGGAGAGGCCAGTTTTCACTCCTGACACACTCACTGCCACACACTGACACTCATCTGCTGCTCCCTGTCACACACACAGTCACTGACACCTGTGCACACACATACTGCTCCCCGTCACACACACACATACCCTGACACCTGTGCAGACACACAATTCAGCACACACAGAC